TAATATGTTTTGTCAATGGCTCGTTTCATTTTTAGGGAACAAGCTCTGGGATCTGATCTTCAGACTACAGATAATTTTGAAGAATTCTAGATCACTGTGAAAACCAAACAATTTGAACATCCCTCTTTTTTATGAGCTTTCTGCTTTTGCCCAATGAAGGGCTACATAATTGCCTGAAACTGCAGTTTCAGCTACAGCAAACCATATGTAGCAGCTCCCACTGAAACATTTAAAGCTAAGACTTAATTAGCTCCTCTGATTAAATGGCAGTTCATAACCATTACTTCTTTCAGCTATGGAGTACCCTTTCCCTTGAATATTCTTTTTTTCAGGATAAATGAAGAATATTCATCATGAAGAAGATAAAAGAAAGGCATCTAAAAATTTTCTGCACAGAATTTCCATTCCTGAGCTATGTCTCACTAACTCTCTGCAAGACAAGTATACTACAGATCACAAACATCACTGTAATACTGTAATAGGGAACATCTGTAACAGAAATGGTCTCCCACAGACAGCACTATTTCAAAGGCTACTATATAGAAAAATGAGTAACTAAACCCCAAAGTATCTATGTTCCTGAAACTCAATGCACTCTCAACTGTTTTCTGTGCTCACTTAATACTTAGATGATCTCTTTATTGGGACAATCGGGATTATGGAAGCGCTCAGGAATTCTGAACTGGAAGGATAAAGTTAAGCAAAAGTAGCAGTAATGTAAGGGGACTGTTAGCCCCTTGCTAAAACTCTGTGGGAGTGTTTGGTTTGCCAGCTTGCAGTATCAAAAGGGGAAGGGTCCATGAGACTGACAGATCCCAGAGACAATGGAAAGCAGCCAACACCCCAGCTCAGCCTGATTGACAGGTTGGACAGGCCAGTGAGGAAAGTGAGAGGCCAGGCCCCATCCTCCCTGTGAGCTGGGATTGTTCTGGGTCTCTCTGGGCAAGGAGAGAGCTGAGAGACAGCTAAGAGCAGTGCAAGCTGTGCTGAGGGGCAATTTTGCAGCAGCAGAGCCAGGCACACACAGCTCAAGGAGCGCAGACCCTGTGTTGCGCAGCAGACTGGCAGTGCTCAGAGAGCCAAAAGGAACAGAGAAGCAATGCAAGGACTGGAGACTGGCAAAGCAGCACAGCCTGCAGCTGGGTGTGGTGAGCAGCTGGGAACTGCAAAGTGTGGGGAGAGGCTCTGGACTGAGAGAGGGGTCTGGCCACTTAGAGCTTGAGGCTGTGTGGTCACTGCCAGAGCAAGCGTGTCCAGCCTGCAGCCCCCCTGCAGCACATCCAGGGCTTCTAAGGAAGAGACTGTGAACTGTCCTTACACTCTGCTGTTTTGATGTCCCCGTGCTACAGAGCTGGGCTGTGTGTTCTCAGTTAACCTTTCTCATTTTTTTCTTATTCTTTTCTCTTTAATCAGTTGATGTTTAGTAAATTGTATTTGCTTTGAACTTTATGGAATGATCACTGGGCCAAGAAGGCCTGCAGTGTGAAGAGAGGACCTCGGAGTGGGGACACCCTAACTTCTGCCCCTAGTGACTACAAGGTCGGGGATTAAGCCCCAGGAAACCTGGGCCCAGCCTTGTTGGGGTTTTGAGGACTCTGCTACTCAGGAGAGTGGAAGGGGAGCCCTCAGGATCAGGGGAGCCGTGGGGTAAAGGAAGTGGGAGCGGGGACTCGGATCATTTTGCTGGTCCATTTCACCGGGGTGGTATAGAAGCCAGGAAAGTTCCCCACAATAACGGGACCATTCCCCCGCTTACAGTAACATTAAGGACCAGATTTTTAAAAGTCTGTAGGCACTTAAAAATGCAAACACACACCTTGTGGGATTTTTTAAAAGCATGTAACCTCCTAACTCCCACCAGTGGGACCTCTCTGGAATATTTAACTGGGTATCCCAAAACCACCATTTCAAGGCTTTTGCTTGTGCCTTTGTGTCTCTTAAAGGGGATACAAATCAATCCTAATTTAGTATTAACTAGACTGGGGTAGGCAATAATTTTTGATGAGGGGGCAAGACTTCAAGAATTTGTAAAGGGTCAAGGGCCACACTCGTCCCTGATATTAATTGAGGTGTGGGGTCTGGGATGGAGATTGGGTGCAGAGGGGAGCTTGGGGTAAGAGATGTAAAGGGGATCTGGGAGGGAGTCTGGGTGAAGGAAGGGGTTGCGACCTGGGGCAGTGGCCTGGGGTGCAAGGATTGTGAGGGGTTTGTGGTCTGGTAGAAGGGTGGAGGAAGGAGTGCAGGATTTGGGAGGAGTTATGTGTGCAGTAACAGGGGTGCAGAGGGTTTGGTTACATGGGATAATGCTGTAGGAAGGGAGCTGGAGTGCAAGAGGCAGGCTCTGGCCAGGGGACACGTATCTGGGGGGGGCTCCTGGCCAACATCCCAATTGGTTCCTCAGCTAGGCTCCCTACCTTCCATGCCCCTGTCTGCATGGGCATGCATGGCTGAATCTGAATGCCGAAGGCCATGTGTGATGCCTGTCCTGCAAAGGGTCCAATGGAAGCTGCAAGATTTTGATGATCGTGGGGTCAGCGTAAAAAGCGTCTCCTCCCTGTCCCCAGTGTTCAGAGAGCTGTTCTGAGCATAAACAGGGCAGGAAAAGCAGGGAGGCTCCCACAGGCTTGGCAGGACTTATTTTGCCCACCCCTGTACTAGACCATTCCCATAGCTAACCTGTGTGGATATGGTGACGATATTTTTCTAGATAAAGCCTCTTCTTTAGGCTTACCTGTACTTATTTTCTAATTTAGCATTACAATACTAGTTTTAAAATAAAAATATAGACGGATTAATCTTTGATCACATGGGCAAATACCGTAAATGTGAACAAAATTTAAACTAAAAACTAATAACAGTAAAGCAATGGATATTGCATGAAATCACAACCTAGCCATGCAAATTCCAGCTGGTAACATCACATATACGTGCCAGCCATCCTTTATCTAAAGCTGCAATGTAGGCAACAGCTCACCTGATTTCAATCACCCTACAGAAAGGCTGCTAAGCATTGCAGTCCTATTCACATGGCTTGTTCGGAGTTCACAGATCTGGCTGACTCTTTCAAAGTCAGGAAGTGTAAACAGAACGCTAAAACCTGAACCCTTAAAGCTCAGACGCCAGAGAGCCTATTTTTCCAACTCTTCTCCTTGACAATAGGTGAGAAATGTGCTCAGAAGAGAGAGAGGGAGGAACAAAGAGTGGGAGTGTGGTGGCTTGAGGCCACCCTGGAGGTGCTGTGGCTTGGGGCCACCACGGAGGCACTGAGGCTCGGGCCGGCCCCAGAGGAACCACTACTGCGCCCACATGGCTTGAGGCCGCTCCGGAGGTGCTGCCACCATGCGGCCCCGGGCCACTCCGTAGGCACCACAGCCTGGGGCTGGTCATGGAGGCACCACTACCGTGCTCACGTGGCCCTGGGCCTGCCCCGGAGGCACCGTGGCAGCGGCGTCTCCAGCCTCTGGGGCTGACTCTGGACCATGTGGCTGTGGTAGCAGTGCCTCCGGGGCCAGTGACGGTAGCGATGCCTCCAGGGTGGCCCTGTTTAGGAACCTGAGACCCAGCACTATCTTGTCTCCAGTGGCAGCTGGTGGTGTGGAATGGCTGAGTTCTTCCCCTTCCTTCCTCCTGTGATGAGGATCTGGCCCACTGAGAGACTTTTGCCCACCCCTGCTCTATTCCCTACTGGTTTCCAGGAGGAAAGTAGGTATCTGGGAATGTTAGAGTGAGCAGGAGACTCTGGTGCATCTCTCAACGTTCACACATTTGTCCTTCTCTCCCAGTCCGTCTGGCTTGCCCTTATACCCACTGAGATCTCAAGAACAAGATGAGTTACACATAGAACATGGCAACCATTGTTGGGAGGCAGTGGAAGGATTATGTACAGCAGGGAGAGAAAGTATAGATGAGATGGCAGAATATAAGAGGATATGGGGACTGTTGTCAGTCAGGCGGCATCCTCCCGATGAGTTCCTGACAGGTCTCTGGCTCTGTTGATGATGATAACCAGAAGGCTGCTTGCATGTGTGCTCAATGATGTGGGCCCAGTCTTACTACACGGAGGACCCAAAGGCCTAGTAGGGTTTAATGGGGAACAGGTATCAGAAGGGAATTAGGGTTTGGGGGTTGGTGGGAGTTGTCGGATATCAGTACCACAGAGCTAACTTCTCAGTTTGCCTGCCTGCCCAAGTGAAAATCATTCAGTTTTCAAATCCTGAAACTATGAGGAATTTTCGGTTTTGAATTACAAATGGGGCAGAAGGGAGGGTCAAGATTTGTTTTACAACAGGACTGTAGCTGTCATCGTAACAATGGAGAAGCAGTAAATATAGCACATCCTTGAGTGTGCTGGCTTATTGCTAACTAAAAACAAAATAGGAGAATTATACTACAGCAATATGTTTTCACCACACTGAAATATTATCCTGGGAGAATTTAAATAGCTGTGTGCTTAGGATGAATACTTCTTAATTTGACAGTAGTCTAGAATTCTAGCCAGAATGCGAGAACAGTGTCAGAAGGAAAGTAAAGGAGGGAGAATTATGAAATAGAGCATTTAAAATTCTATCTGGATGGATTTGCTAGTCAAAATGTCTTCTGGAATTTGGCCAAGCCCGCTCACATTAGACCCTCAAAAGCCTGCAGGTATAATTTACATAAGTGCAAGTGTTAATTTGCATAAATTTGAATATTTACTGCATGTTAGGCTCCAAAGTCATTTTTTGTCTCCATATCTTCAGGAGGAGATGACCTGCTCCCCCTACAGCAATTTCACAACTTACTCTGCTCCCTTTCTCACTCCCTCTTGTCCTCTGAGGGGCCCTATCACTGTCTGTCTCTGTTCCTCCTCCCCTGAGATCTTTGGGCCTTATTGAAAGCTCCCTCATGCATCCCACTATCTACTATATATTTTATAGAGTTTGTGTGTGAGTCTGTCTGTTCAATAACTCCTAAATGGTAAGAGCTAGGACCACAAAATTCAGTATACAGTTTCCTCTTACCCCATGGGTGCTCCACTGTTGGTGTTGGGTCTTCCCAGTGCCGCAGATTGGAGTTTTCATTAGCAGTAGTCAGCCAGACTGCACGTGTGCAGCACGTGCCTCATGCCATTTCCATCTTTTTGATCATGTGCGCAGTCCAGCTTCCACCAGTTCCTCGAGTCCACCCCGCTGTCTGAAAGGTACAATAGGAGACTCCAAAGCGGGGAGGAGGGAGAGTAGTGGAGCACCCACAGGGACACATATCTCGAAGAACAGTCATTACTGCACAGGTGAGTAACTTCCTCTTCTTCAAGTGGTGTCCCCGTGAGTGCTCCACTGTTGGTGACTGAGTAGCAGTATCCAAAATATATGGAAGGCAGGTAACAGAGTCATGGATTGGTCACAGTCGAGAGTACTTCAGAGGCCACCGTAGTATCACTAGATAAGGTCAGAGAAATTGCGTAATGTTTCAAAACAGTATCGTTGGTGGACCATGTGGTCACTTGGCAAATATCCCAGAGGGGAACTCTGTGAAGGAAAGCCATGGAAGTTGCTATGGCTCTCGTAAAGTGTGCTCTATGTGCCTCTGGCAATGGTTTATTTTGTATAGCACTTTACTATGCAGGAAATTATGAGTCTGGAGATGCATTGCGATGAGAGTGGTTCACCCTTGCAAAGTTCCGCCACCAAAATTAGCAATCTATCTGATTTGCAAAAAGATTGAGTCCTGTCTATGTAGAAAGTGAGTGATCTGCACACATCCAGAAAGTAAAGCATAACCTCCTGATTATTAGCATGTGGCTTTGGGTGGAAGGATGGAAGGACAATTGACTCATTTATGTTGAAGTCCAAACATGCTTTAGGGATGACCACCTGTCTTCTTCACTGTGAGGAAATAGTGGAAGTAGAAGACCCTGCCCCTGAACTCTTCTGGCACCATCTCTACTACTCTGATGTCGAGAAGGCAATCTTTCAGTAGATCTTTGTGAGAGGGGTCCCTTAAGAGGGACAGGGAGGGTGGGGGCAGTGGGGATATCATTGTGAACAGAATGGTGTGGCCGGATGTTACAATCTCCAAGATCTATTGTAATGGTACAATGATCTATTGTAATGGTAGCCCAGCGATGGTAAAATGGTCTCAGCCGATGGTAGAATGTAGGGGTGGAATATTTGGGATGACTCAGCAACGGGAGGTTGTGCAAGGCCTTGACCAGCAAGTCAAAAGTACTGCTTGTTTGGCTGCTGGTTCAAATTACAATTATTGAGAGGAAACCTCCTCTGAGGCTGTTGTGGTCGAAACCTGTAGGGGAACCTTGACTACCCTGCCTTGTCAATAAATGGTGATGTCTGCCTTGTCCAAAGTGCAGACCTCTAAAAAACAAAACCCATGCTTCTCTCAAGTCTAGTGCACGTATACATGCAGGTAAGGTCGAGGAGAAACTGTGAGAGGAAGGAATGTTTTGAATAACTATGGAGATTAAGCATGGTACGCAAGATCACATCAAGAACAAATGACAAGCGACTTCGTACTGGTACTTCAGTTTCTGATACGCAAAAATTACAGATGCAGCCATACAACTGTCAACTGCGCACATAGCAGTAACATCCTGAGTAGCAGGATGTACCCCAAATAGGGGCATTTGGCATTTTACATATCCTTCACAATACATAATCAATTGGTAAATATTATTAGAACGACCAAATCTCTCTGGGTGTGTCTAGACTACATGGTTCCGTCGACGGAGCCATGTAAAGTAGTTTACTTGACATAATCAATAAAGCGGAGATTTAAATAATCCCCGCTTCATTAAAATAAAAATGGCCATCGCGCTGTGCCGACAATCAGCTGATCTGGCACAGCGCGGCAGTCTAGACGTGGCATGGTCAAGGGAAGCCTTTGTCGACCGCTCCTGTAAGCCTTGTGAAAGGCTTCTCTTGTCGACCATTTTTATTTTAATGAAGCGGGAATTATTTAAATCTCCGCTTTATTGATTATGTCGAGTAAACTACTTTACATGGCTCTGTCGACAGAGCCCTGTAGTCTAGACACACCCTCTTTGCTATAAAATGGGCTACAAAATGACTTCCTGCCTGGTACTGTAGGTAGCATACCGGTGAAGTATAAATGAACTAGGTTTTATTATTGTATTATAGTAGATCTTCTATTAATTGCTTTTGCGTTGCTTTGTGCTGTATTAATTGCTTTAGAATTTATAGTATGTAAGGTTTAAATTGTATAGTAATTGTTTTTAAGGCTTGTAAAACTCAAATAACTATTAACTGCTTAAAGCTTGTAATAAATAAGAAAGTGGTTAAGTTTCCCTGGAGTGTCCTGGTTTCCTTTGGATGTAAAATAAACCAAGCCACACGACAATTGGTGTCATGAACAGGATCTGAGGAACCCAAATAAGTCCATGAGGTTTGGGAACCATGGCACTTTCCAGGAGTGGTATGGGAGAAAAGGATAAGGACCGGGGGATGATGCCGGGATGGGAACTTGGTAACCCCTGGACTGTCCTTGCACATGTTACAGGCCAAACTCAGCTGCTGGTCGGCTGGGATTGAGATAAAAGTCAAGTAATTTGGTAAAAACTGGGGGGAAATATGGACTGGCATTTGTAAAGCAACAGGAAACTCTAAAGAATAGGAATAAAAGTAAAAAAGCTAGAATTTTGCAATTAATGTAAGATGGCTTAAACAGCATTCCATTATATTAGCTTCCCAAATACATTTGGATAAATCCAAATTTTCATGTAAGTGGGGGAATGGTCCCGCTATTGTGGGGAACTTTCCTGAGTTCTATACCACCCCAGTGAAATGGACCAATGAAAGGATCTGAGTCCCTGCTCCCACTTCCTTTACCCCACGGCCTCCCTGATCCTGAGGGCTCCCCCTCCACTCTCCTGAGTAGCAGAGTCCTCGAAACCCCAACACGGCTGGGCCCAGGTTTCCTGGGGCTTAATCCCCGACCTTGTAGTCACTAGGGGCAGGAGTTAGGGTGTCCCCACTCCGAGGTGCTCTCTTTACACTGCAGGCTTTCTTGGCCCAGTGATCATTCCATAAAGTTCAAAGCAAATACAATTTACTAAACATCAACTGATTAAAGAGAAAAGAATAAGAAAAAATGAGAATGGTTAAATGAGAACACACAGTCCTGCTCTGTAGCACAGGGACATCAAAACAGCAGCCTTCAGAGTGTAAGGACAGTTCACAGTCTCTTCCTTATAGGCCCCTTAGAGGCCGTGGATGTGCTGCGGGGGGGCTGCAGGCTGGACATGCTTGCTCTGGCAGTGACCACACAGCCTCAAGCTCTAAGTGGCCAGACCCCTCTCCAAGTCTGGCCTGCGAGGCCTCTTGGCTGGTGATATCTCCCTGCTCAGAGCCTCTCCCCCCACTTTGTTGGTCCCAGCTGCTCACCACACCCTGCTGCAGGCTGTGCTGCTTTGCCAGTCTCCAGCTCCTTGTGTTGCTTCTCTGTCCCTTTTGGCTCTCTGAGCACAGCCAGTCTGCTGCTCAACACAGGGTCTGCGCTCCTTGGGCTGTGTGTGCCTGGCTCTGTTGCTGAAGGACTGCTCCTCAGCGCAGCTTGCACTCCTTGGGCTGTATGTGCCTGGCTCTGTTGCTGCAGGACTGCCTCTCCACACAGCTTGCTCCTCTTAGCTGTGTCTCAGCTCTCTCCTTGCTCAGAGAGACCCAGAAAAATCCCAGCGCACAGGGAGGACAGGGCCTGGCCTCTTACTTTCCTTACTGGCCTGTCCAACCTGTCAGTCAGGCCGAGTTGGAGTGTTGGCTGCTTTCCATTGTCTCGGGGGTCTGTCAGTCTCATGGACCCTTTTGATATTGGGAGCTGGCGAACCAAACACTCCCACAGAGTTTTAGTGAGGGGCTAACAGTCGCTTTACACAAAAAAGGAACCAGAAGGTGTGATGACTAGTTAATAAGCCCACCTTTCTTGCTAAATTAGTAATGAACAAAACCTGTGTCCATGGAAAGGGACAGAGAAAGCAGGATCAGGCCCAGATAGAGAAAGAAGCAAAAAAGCAAGTGAGTGTGGGAAAGAGGTTTGGAGCCCTGAGGGCAGAGGGGCAGGAATAAGGGAAAGCTCTAAGTACAGGCATTGGAGATTTAAATTCTTGGAAAATTACTTGAAATAGTGATATCAAGTGTCATTCTGGGAGATAAAGCAAGTGATTTAAGGAAAAAGAATGAGTGAGAAGTTAACTCTGCAGAGTCTGGAAGGAACTGAGCAATTGTTGTAATATGCTAAAAGGAAAAGCATTACAGGAGAAACAAAAAACAGGACTATGGAGCACTTTAAAGACTAACAAGATGGTTTATTAGGTGATGAGCTTTCATGGGCCAGACCCACTTCCTCAGATCAAATAGTGGAAGAAAATAGTCACAACCATATATACCAAAGGATACAATTTTAAAAAATGAACACATATGAAAAGGACAAATCACATTTCAGAACAGAAGGGGGATGGGAGGGGAGGTAAATGTCTGTGAGCTAATGATATTAGAGGTGATAATTGGGGAAGCTATCTTTGTAATGGGTAAGATAATTAGAGTCTTTATTTAAACTTAAGTGTAAAGTGTTGAATTTAAGCATGAATGATAGTTCAGAGGATTCCCTTTCAAGTGTAGGCCTTTTAAGACTACACTTGAAAGGGAATCCTCTGAACTATCATTCATGCTTAAATTCTAACACGGCTACATTTCTATCATTATAGGAGAAGAATTCTTGACTTCTTTGCAACCTTTCTGGGGGAGAAAATGTGCTCTTACCCCAAAGGAATTTATGTAAAGAATCCAGGCAAAAAACCAATCTGAGTTAAATAATTTAGCCATGGTCACTTTAGTGGAATTTGCTAAAAGAACATAAGGGAATGTAATTTGTATAGAGCTATGAGAAAATAGTGTAAATAGAAGTTAAAAGAGTGTATGTATGTATATAGTATGTAAATATGTGAGGTTTCTAGGACCTAACCAGTATTTTTACATGTTTATGAAATTCTGTTTTGTAGGTTTCAGGTAAATGAATTGGTTTGGTTTTGTTTGAATAATGCCATTTCATTCAGAGTTATAAAATTGACAAGACACTTTTGCCAGATATTGGTAATTAGTGTTGCTTGGCTTTTTATATCTAGCATTTAACCCTTCAGGTGTCTCAATGCTTCATTGTTTTTATAGACCAAG